GAATGTTGCACTAGCATTGTGCATTTATATAGAGCTATCAAATTGCTAGAATATAAAGGGGATCGGACGCAAAAAGATAAGAAAAAAGCGTTTGAGTGGTGTTTGAAATTAGCAGAGAGTGGAAATGAATTGGGACAAACCAAACTTGGTGAACACAAAAAGACAAGAAAAAAGCATTTGGGTGTTATTTGAAATCAGCAGAGTGTGAAGATGCTTTAGGACAATGTTATCTTGGTTTGTGTTATCAAAAAGGAATTGGAATACAAAAGACGAGAAACAAGCATTTGAGTGGTATTTGAAATCGGCAGAGGGTGGAAACGCAGAAGCCCAATATAGACTTGGGGGTTGTTACGATAATGGAATCGGAACACAAAAAGACGAGAAAAAGCATTTGAGTGGTTTTTGAAATCAGCAGAGCAACAGGACAATGTAATCTAAGTTTGTGTTATCAAAATGAAGGTTGGAGAAGTGCGTTTCTCATGATATTATAAAATTGGTATAAAAACTGCGGTTGAAAAATATTATCGCAAAAAAATGATTGAAAAATATACTACATATAGATTTCACCCACTTTGTTATATTTTTATATTAAACCCATTATGTAGTTTACTAAAACTTATAGAAGCTTTAGAATAATCTGAGCTTCTTATATATATCATTTGAGACGTACATTAAAGATGGAAATTAATATTCATGAGATTATTAATATTAGAATATCATCGTATCCAAAATGCAGATGTTTTGAAAAAGTCGAATATTTTGTAGAAGCAATTTTGAGACAATTACAGTATAAAACAATCTTCTGGCCTGGTTAGAAGAACCATTGAGAGAGTGGGATCATAAATTTAAATGTTTTAGAGGAACGCATAAATATTAAAAAAAAATTATTCGGGTGTTTATAAAAGAGGGCATTTTTTAAAATGAAAAAAATAAATTCTTGTGAATAAGTTCTGTAATTATATGAAATATCATTGTGATTTGCCAATTTACGGTAACTGACGTTCGTAACAATAACAGAAGCAGTCATGAGTTTTTATTGGTTTTTATTAAAATGATATCTTACAGTATATTACCCTCAGAAAGTATCGTCCGAATTGAAATTGCATAAACATGTATATAGTAAAATATAAAACTAACATTTGAATTGTTTCGTTACATATTGTTCTTGCGATTTGGTTGGTTTACCACTTAAAAATAATCATGTGGACGGATTATGCACAATGGTCAAAAGACGGGATAAAGTTTTACTTTTTTTAAAAATAAATGTAAAAACATAAATGACATTAAATCCCGATCCATTGATCGCTACTTCTTGTTGGTAGACATTAAATCTCGATTCATTGGTCGCTGGCGTAGACATTATTATTGATCGCTGTTGTTGTTGTTGTTGATCGTTGCTTGTTGTGGTTGGTAAACATTATTGGTTGCTGCTTTTTGTGGTTGGACTTTTTCCATTGATGATTCAGGTGAAGCTTCAACAGTTTGTTTACCAGCAGTTTTTCCGCCAGCCGCATTTGAAGACGTTGTAACCGTCACTTTGCAGTTGAAGTGGCTGGTGGTTGCTTTGATTTCATAATAGGTAGAGTTATCGAAGGAGAAATAGTGGTAGAAGCATGATAAGAATAATTTGTGGTTCTTCCATTTTATATGTTGATAAAGATGACGATCTATTAATGCTATTCTCATCTGAATAAATGTTTGCACTACTACTACATAATGATCTCTTTCTTTTGGTGGTTATCTTCTTCTCCTCCCGTTTATCTGATATTGATGCTAAATGATTTAATTTCTTAGATTTTGTAGGTCTCTCAGACTCAGTAATAATTAAATTGTATTCATCTTTAAAAGTTTCAATTTTATCATGAGACCTCTTTTCTTGGGCTTGAGCAACCTTATCTTTCTTATGAGATATTGTAGGTATAACATCCGGAACCGTATCAGAAATTTCCAAAGTAGAAGGCGAAGGTTGAGGAATTTTTTATGGTATTGATCTCTTTGTGTAATACGAATCATGGTAATGGAATCATTCTTAGGAGGTTCGAGAGCTCTATGTCTTACGCTGTAAGTAGACTCTGGCTTATTAAAATTCGCTGTTGGTATGTACTTTTTTTAGGTAGTAATTTTTTCGTACTTGGATTTGCTATTGTCTACTTGATCCATCAACCATTACCTCAGAATATCTTGGTGATGACGAATCAATTTCTTTTCTTTACCCTTTTCTCTCTTCTCCATCTCCTCAATTTCTCCATTCATATTAGTAATACACCTCCCTGATTCATCAGACATTACTTTAGAATACTTTGATGATGGTCTTTTCCGCATTTCCGC